CACACACACACACACACACACACACACACACACACACACACACACACACACTCTCTCTTCCTCTCTCGTGCACAGGGGGACGGCCGGGAGGTCGGACCACTGTCTATGCTTGTTGTGCACGCTCACACTAGCACGTTTGCTGCACTGGTGCGTGTGTATGAGTGATTTGGACACACTATTTGCTCGCTGTGCTATGGTTTCTAACTTTCTGTATATTGATTTGTGCCTCTTTCCTCTACATTTCCTCTTCGGTTCACACGGTCACCCCAGTACTTATGCTTGTGCACTCCTCCTTTCTCTCTCTTCTTTTGTCGTGTTTTGAAAGGGCCTTTGCATTCACCTTCTCTGTTTCTCTGAAGCTTTCTTCTTTCAAAATCTTATCCATGCTCTGTCTTCATTCTTTCTCGTATCCACCTCCCTATATTTGCCTCTACCTTCTCCTCCACTTCCAGTGTCGGCCTCTGTTACTACCGTCTGTGCACAGCCGTCGCTATTGTCTCCTCTCGGAAAAAATCAAAGGACGTAGGCTCGCTCTATAATTTGAGTTCCCCATTGCTTTTTTTGACAAGCATATGTCCATCTCTGTGCAGAATCCTCTTCTTCTTCTTCATTTTTTTATTTTTTTTTTGACTGGCCAACGGCGGTGAGATATCATGATTGAACTGACCAGTACCAGCAGGTAGGCAATTCAGAATTATTTTGATTGCATCTGGATTTGAACAAAGGTCTGTATTTAAACAGTTCATGAGTGTGCCAACTGAGCTAGCCTCGTTGGTCCTTTGCAGAATCCTCTTACTCTGCAAGTGGTTCTCTCCCATGCCTGAGGGCGTACTCACACTAGCATATATGACCGTATTTACGGCCACACCTGGATGTATACGACCGCATTTACGGGCACACCTGGATGTATACTACCGCAATTACGTCCAGAAATAAAGGGGGGTGGGAGGGGGGGGAAGTCCTAGTGTAAGTAAAGGTCGATTTGTAGGTGCTTGTCTGTCGCAAAATCATTCGTGCGTGGCTCGTTAGATGCCCTGGACCTCCTTGCTTCTTGCCAGATTTGACATCTCACAGGTCTGGCATCACAAATGTGTCCAGATGCGTCCAGGTTTCTCATTGCCCGTCGGTCTTGCACATGGGCAGCGCATCGTTCTGGCGTAGTTGCACCGCTCGCCATCCGCCAAGAGTTTGAATGCACCTGGACAACAAAAGGGTGTCCAGATGCATTCGAAATCTTGGCTGATGGCGAGTGCTGCAATGAGGCCCTCAGCAGCGTATCTTGGCATCGGCCAAGATTTTGAATGCACCTGGACAGAAATGTGTCCAGATGCGGTCAAAATCTTGGCCGACGGCAAGTGGTGCAACTAGGCCCTAGGCAGCATATTTTGGCACCGGCCAAGATTTTGAATGCACCCGGGCACAAATGTCTCCAGATGCATTCAAAATGTTGGCAACCATAAACTGCCCAGCGATCCGAGACAAAGAATAGGGCGCATAGGCGGTATGTTGGTATTCTCTGGTTTATGGGAATGTTTTGAATTTGTTTTCTGTATTTGCCTGTATGCTGTGTGTTCTTTGCTACTCGCCTCTACTCACTTGTGTGTGTGTGTGTGTGTACTGTATTTGCTCTCCTGCCTATGAGAGGAACGGGGAGCAAAACTATTGTGAAGAACTGATAGGTCCAGTTTCAAAAGGGATTTCTGCTAAGATAGAGGTATCTAAGCAAGCTAGCTACACAGCTATAAAGGCACGAGATCGAATGAGGCAGCGGAGTATAGACGCTATACTATAGGCCTTGAGTTTATTTGCTTCATTCGGTATGCCTAAGCCCAGCCCCAAGTTTTCAGCTGTGTTTGCTATTTTTGCTTTTGGCCTTGGATCAGGAGGTTGACGATAATGCCTACCACCTCAATGTGAGCTCCGGACGGTCTGTTTGTTGTTTTCCTTCTTCTTTTTTTGTATCAGGAAATGGATGAAAAGGGAGCCTCAAACTCGAAGCGCAAAGTACTCGTTGCTGTGGATCACTCAGCTGGAAGTCAGTATGCCTTGAATTGGGCGCTAGAGAAGCTGATCACTCCACGCGACCAGGTAATCTTGCTCCATGTGAGGGACGATGAGCCGAAGAGCTCCTTCGATGACGAATCCGGAATCGGTGAGCTGTCTGCGATCCCCTACCTTCCCCGATTTATCCTGCAGTGCTGGCGTCCCGAGTTCCCCGGCGATGGTGCTGGAGGTTTCGCCGGTGGGCCTCTCGGGCGCAACCTTGAATTGGAGCAGGCGGTCTCTTCTGACAGTGAGATCGAGAGCTTAACCCCTCAAGACATCGACAAAATGGTAGCCCAGTGTTTAGACAAACAAATCCGCGCTGAGGCGTTGACGGTCCAGGGAGACCCGCGCGAACGGATTGTCGAAGAAGCTATCCGACGAGACGTGGATTTGCTCGTCATTGGCAGTCGCAGTCCGATGAAAAGAACACTCATTGGCAGTGTCAGTGACTACTGTATGCAGCAGTCTCCATGCCCTGTCGTTGTCGTCAAGCCTCCCGTCCAGCTAGGGCAAGTCTGAGTTTCTTGTACCATCGAGGAGTGTGTGTGCCCTTTAATTGCCCGCTGTTTTGTCTGTCTGCCTGCCTGCGCTCACGAAAACTGGGCAGCCCCCTGCAAAAGATTCTGGTGTCATGCTGCCTGTCTCACCACTCGTACCCTGGATATCCTTGTCCTTTGTTTGCATTTTTGGTTCCTACGATCTGAGGGCTCTGTGTGTGAGCAGAGGAGGTGTCAAGTAGGAGTCTATCGATGATGGGCAGGGAGAGGGGGGGATTAGCTTGCTCATGTACTCGCCAAATAACATGCTTCTCCCTACCTCTTACCCAGTTATAGCAGACCTTTGTGTGTGAGCAGAGGAGGTGTTGAGTAGGAGTCTATGGATGTGATGGGCAGGGAGAGGGGGGATTAGCTTGCTCGTGTACTCGCCAAATAACATGCTTCTCCCTACCTCTCTTACCCAGTCATAGCAGACCTTTGTGTGTGAGCAGAGGAGGTGTTAAGTAGGAGTCTATGGATGATGGGCAGGGAGAGGGGCGATTAGCTTGCTCACGTACCTGCCAAATAACGTGCTTCTCCCTACCTCTTAGCCAGTTATAGCAGACCTTTTATGCTCCATTCGAAGGTTTGTTGATGAGAAAAGCGGAAATGTTACTCGAGACCCTTGGGGGGGTTGCTCATGGATTCCTGGCAGGGCATTGCTTGGACGTGCAGGCTATGCATGTAGTCGTTCGGCATTGTAATTCGCTCAGCTATCGCCTAGTCGTACTTGGTATCGTTGATCTGCCTCCTTCACTCTATCTTGGTAGCCGGTCACTCTTCTATATGACCGCGTTCTTACCGCTTCGCTTTTATTTGCTCACATTATGGCGTCCGAACATCTGTGTTCGCGCTCCTGTTTTGGAGTTGTTTTCGTTGGCTCCCCAGGCGGTGCACATTGAACCCGCATCGCCCCTCCTGTTTTGGAGACCAAGCAGTGTTTTTTTTTGCGTCTTTTTTGTTCCGCAGGCGCCTCCTTGTATGCCAATGACGCATTCTCACGGTTTTCTTTTCAGTAACTTGCAACCTGTCAATGCCCGATCAAACTCCTCCGGTCAACTCCCGGTCAACGCCCGGTTAACGCCCGGTAAAGCGGTGGGTGACAAGTGCCGATGAGGTAAGTGCTTGGGAGGCGTGTCTGCTCCCCTTCTGGTCTTTGAGGGGGCGTGGTCTGAAGCTTGCAGTACTGTGAGGGATGTAGTATAGAACTGAGAGATTGCATTTTGGGTGCTGCTGCTGCTGCAAGTGAGGCTGCCGTGCGGCCAGGAGATACGCAGAACTGGAACTAAGGACACCCTACTAGGTTCTTGACTCTTAAAGCACCAGTACATGGTCACCTGGGTCGCGGACCTGACACCTCGAATTCTGGAAGCGCGGAAACGAAAACGCCACCGCTGATCCAATTTATCAAAGGCAGGCCCCCCGTTTGATGTTTCAGCCTCGTTTGCTTGTGGCAACAAGTTTCGGACTGCAAGGCTGGGGCCGTGTACTAGTGGTTTAAGGTCCGGCTATGCCGCGCAGCTACCATGCTTTTCTGCTCGACTATGAGACGTCCTTTTGAGCACAAGTGCGTGCTCTGTCTGAGCACAAGCACGCTCTTTGAGGGTCCACGCATGGTCTGAAGCTTTTCAGTACTGTGAGGGATGTCGTATAGAACTGAGAGATCGCATTTTGGTGCTGCTGCTGCTGCAAGTGAGGCTGCAGTGCGGCCAGGAGATATGCAGAACTTGAACTATGAGACGTCCTTCTGAGCACAAGTGCGTGCACTATCTGACCACAAGCGCGTGCACTATCTCTTGTGTGGTAATAAATATATGTTACAACACAAACATTTTCTATGACTTTTCCGTTTTGCAAAAATGCTGTCTGGCTGGCGATCTGTTCCGCAAGGGCCAAGGAGGCCATTTGCCGGCATCCAGGGTCCGCATGGATGCGCAGTGCAGCTGGAAATGGCGATATTTGGTTTAGCATCTTGACAGTGTGAGACTGAACGAAATATGAAAGTCGTCTCAGTCAGACGGCTTCGTCAAACGTTGCATGGCCAGACAGTGCATGGCTGGACGCGGCATGGAGATGATGGGTGGAGGGATTTGCATGGGAGGGACGGACTGCTCTCGAGAAAGGCCGAAGAGTTTTGTACCTATATAGGCCAGATACGCTGTTCATCATGCTTCTCTTGTCTCATCAAGCAACGCCGCTGCTCTGCTGACGGGGGGCATGATTCATAACAGTCAGCATGGGTCTTTACAGGACTGCAGCGGCATTGAAAATGTCTAGGTACATGCGATGTCTAGGTACGGCAATGATGTCTGAAGTGCATGGTTAGGTTGTCATTCCACGTACGGGTTTGTCAGCGTCTTCTCAGATTTTTGACGGAGGAGAAGTTTCTCTCAGAAAGTCTCTCTCAATTCAACTCATGTTTTTGTCAGATTTTTCATGGAAGCTAAGTTTTTGTACCTGAAGAGTCGAGTCAGGACAGGATGAGCAAAAATGACGCTAAAAAGCGGCTAAAAGCAACTCCCTATGTACGCACCTGCTAACATCGGTTCGTTTGATGCATCTGGTCCTTGGGGTGCTGTCAGGGCGAGAGAAGTGGTGGATATTAGAGCAGAGTAGTAGTAGTGGGGAGGGGAGGAGGGAAGTTCTGGTGGAGCCGTTGTTGGATTTCTGGCACTTCATGCCAGCTGCCATGCTTGATGAAGAATGGATGCTCTCAAACCGTGGCTGCTGCACCAGTAGGTGAGTGTGGGTATGGACAGATAGAGGCTGGCAATTGCTGGTATTGCACCGCAGGAGGGCCAAATGAGTAAGGGGACTCTTTAAGTCGCAAACGGGGGAAAGTGCGCAACTGAAGGGAGGAGGCTCTGTGTGTGTGTGTGTGTGTGTGTGTGTGTGTGTGTGTGTGTGTGTGTGTGTGTGAGAGAGAGAGAGAGAGAGAGAGAG